ACGTCTCTGCTGCGGCTTAGAGCTGGGCAATATTAGGAAAATCAAATATTATATATTTGACTAAATAATTTGATATTCTGCATTTTTAGGAGTTTTTCTCATTCGACCCTCATTTTGTAATTTCCCCACCCTGGTTTCCTCAGCCCCCGAGCAGCCGAGCTGTAAGGCGCTGTACGACTTTGATCCAGAGAACGAGGGAGAGCTGGGCTTCCGAGAGGGCGATATCATCACCCTGACCAATCAGATCGACGAGAACTGGTACGAGGGTATGCTGAACAACCAGTCGGGATTCTTCCCTCTCAACTACGTCGATGTCCTCGTCCCGTTGCCACACTAATCTAAAGCGAGATAAGGAGGAGACTGATGAAGAGGAGGAGGGCAGAGCAAGTCGAGAGGAAGGAAAGCGAATCCAAGGGACGGTCCGCAGAATATTCATTTTCACCTTCAGCTCCAACGTCGCCATCACAGATGAGCACTTTTTTGTCATCTGGAGTCCTGGAGAGTCACAATTCAAAGCCCAGACCAGGATTAAAACCTGTGCCACACAAAGGTAAACGGTTCTGAGATGGACACAAAATGTCATCACGCATTTCCTGGCAGTCAGAAACATTTCCTGAGGACTAACTGATGACGCATTTCTAAGAATTATTTGTCTTTTTACCACAAATTAGTGATATCATAAAGATGACTGTATAAAATCAGGTGATAATGACGAGGTGATGCATTCACAGCATCCTTTTTTTTACGTGCCTGCAGTCTGTTTCAAAACTCAGGTTAGTAACCAACCCAACAGGCCGTTTTCAGACGGCCTCACAGGACATACCAGTTGTTTGTTGACTGAATGTTATCCTCATTTCAATAATGAAACATGTATTTTTGTCCCTTCTGGCCTGGAGTTCATGTCTTGATGCCACCTGCTGGTGAGATGAAGTATTACTTTTACCTAAACTAAAATGGAACCACACACAGCTAGATGTTGTGTTTATCTAGCAGAAACATTGCATTTGTTTATGAGAAACAAGTGGTCTCAGATTTGTGATTTGACAACTATCAGGATTGGGCCTATTTGTTAAGCCCTTTTTAAAGATCAAAGCTATTTCCTGATAATAGCCTCAGAGGACAAGAGGCCTGAAAGAGTGGTGTCCTTATTTTATTTCTGTAGTATCAACTTACTACAATAGTTTTAAAAGTAGACCTGCTTACTGAATATGTGAGAACATGTTGTAATTGCACCTTGGTCCTAAAATGAGATTGATATGTGTGTGACAGACTTACTCCAGAATTACACACCGACCCAAAGTTTAAATGCAGACGTTGCACCTTTTTGTCACTCGAGGCAGGCGTGTGTTCGTCGTCTAGAGATGCAGAATGATTATTTGTTTCGTGGTTGTCTGCGAGTCTGTTCGATAGAAGAGACAGAGCCAAAAAGTCTTTATAAAATGCAATAGAAACATATCGCGCCCGTTTGCTAAAAAGTATTCTGTAACATAGCCATATATTCTTTTAGTTTTGGACCCGTTTGTCTCAGCATGTTCAGTCTTTTTTTCTTATATTGGTCTGTTGATCCGTTTTATGCGCCTGAATATCGATGACACTGCTGGTCAGCCTCTCATATTCATCACTTAGTGTCCCACTATTTCCTGTCTTTGTCTTTGATAATGTGAAACTCATCTGTGCTTCGTTACTTACTCTGACCGTGTGATCCTGGTGATGGACAATGGCTCAAATTAGATGTATTTGTCAGTACGTTGGGCTGATTTACAGAAGACGTTTCTGTTTAGTTAATCTATGTAGACAAGGCTGGTTTCTTGTTATGGATTTAACCACACCTGCAGAATCTAATCCCACACACACTGTACATTATGAGGGAACGACCTGGAGTGAAAGGGAAAACATCAAGGGAAAAATTATTGTCAATTTTGACTACATTTGGAGAACGTTTGTTACTAAACATGAATCAAAACGCTTATCGTTGGTCAAGCTGATAATGCAAAAAAAGTTAAAATTGTGAATGACAAATGAGTGCTCCTTACTGTTTGTGTCCCTTCTTCTAATCTGTTTGTCCATCACTCCGCGCAGGCAAACACTTCCCCTACTCCTCGGTTTGGTCCTTGTCTAATATGTTTACATCTCTGTTCTTACTACATTTCAATGCTTGTATCAAGTTCAGGGTAAAGGACTGCACGAGGTGCTGTCTGGGTCTCACTGTTATCACAAAGTCCTTGATAGCTTTGTTTTAGTGCCTTTTGGAAAAGAAAGGAGGGGAAAGTACCACAACTAATCCAGCAACCAAAACCTAACCTAGCTCCTAAAGAACAAGGTCAAGATTTCTTTTTCTACTTTTTATTTCTAGCTGTTGGCACTTTCCTGTGTAAAGATGAAATGCATGTGTGCTCATTTCTGCACATTTGTAACACTACAGGCAGTTTCCTGGACACGTGTTGTTTGGACTAATGTGAGGTCTATCAGCGGAAACTGCTTCTTTTTTTTTGTAGATTTGAATCCATGTTTGGATAAAATGTCCCTCTGATTCTTTTTTTTAAGGGCTATGCATTTGTTTAAACCGTCTTAAATGCTCTTTTGAACAGCGTTAAATCATTCTGGCTCTCTATAGTATTATTTTTTATATACAAGCCCTTAAAAACATTTAAATTAATCTTTGCATGTAGTCCTGTATTACAGCTTGTAAATGTATGTCTTTAGATTTAAAGGTGGGGTAGGTAATTTTGGAGAAACAAGCTCGAGCGCTGGAATTTGAAAATACACAGCCGGAAGAAATCTGCCACTTCCTTACAGAGCCCCTCCTCCAACACACATGAACGCGCACATGACCAATGAGGGCACGAGATAAGTTTGTGCACAGATGGAAGGCTGACAGGCAGGTAGGCCGTCCAGTTACTTTAGCCGGGCCGGTGAAAATGATTGGTCGTGCTATTTACAGCGCTACGGCTTCCACAGATGAATTTTTTTAATGGATTTTTTGTCAAAGCACTTATATTCATAATATAGCAAGATATTCATTGCTATCGGGATGTTAAGAGCATTTCATGGAATATAACAAAAAGTGTATCTCGAGCCGGTTTCTCAAACGTACCTACCCCACCTTTAAGTTGCCTTTTCCCTGTCGGTATGAGTACAGAATTTAACAGCAATATTGTCTTTTATTATCAAAGTATTTGTACGTGCTTCTTTCTTGTCCTGCCCCAACCCTTCTTACAATAAATAAAAAATAAAAAAGTATTTATTGTTGCATATCAATCGGGAGGTTTTGACACCATTATGGCTGGCTGTGAATTAGTATTTTATACATATATTCACTAGGAGGTTTGAAATAATTTACTATTATTGGATGGTGGGTTGGTCAAATGTTAATGCCCAAACTTTAATTTAAAAAAACTGAAGATGTCTCATATAACAGCTGGCATAGTTTAAAGGGGCCTATCATGCAAAATGCACTTTTTGATGTCTTTTATACATCCAGTAAATATGTGTCCCCGGTGTGTCAGGGAACTCACGCAGCGTCAGAAAATAAAACCCTCTCTCTTTTCCTCCGTACCCACATCTCTAAAAACGGGGCTACAACGGAGCTGATCCAGATTTGCGTACGATATGACGTAATGTCGGAAATGTAGGCTGGCGCCACCCACGGCTCTATCAGAAACGTTGCTATCAGAAACAATGCCTGACTGTTTTGGACGTAATATGGTCTGTGTTTACATTAGCATGGCTAACACTCAGAGCTAACCTGTACTGGAGAGCACGTGTGTGAAGAAGCAGGAAATAAAAAGGAACTCACCTTGTGGTATAACCGGCAAGAGAGAAAGCCTTTGAGCTCCATACTGTTTCAGAGATAATCCTTGAAATCCATGATATGGCGTTTCATCATGGCAGTATCTGCCGGTAGAATCTCCCGCATGAGCTCAGCCCCCCCCCCCCCCCCCTTTTTTTTTAATGTATCAATTTTTTTAAAGCGTTATACCCCAAATCAGCCCTTTTGAAACAGGAAGTGAAATAGAGGGATATGAGGCAAGGCTAGAATGGGTGATCTGTTTGGTATTTTGAGCAAAACACTTCATAGACATGTTTTTTATATATTTGTATATATCTGAGACCTATGCTATTGCCTAAAAATAGCATGATAGGTGCATTTTAAGACTCTTGGTGTTTAAGAATACAGTAATTGAATAACAAGCAGTCGTGTTTAAATAGTTCCAGTGTGTATATTTTTAATGCTTTGTGGATCATCAGCAGGCTTAAGGCAGTGCTCTGTCTTCATACATGTACATCACACAATCCACAGTTAGTAATAAATACAGTACAGGTAGAAGAGGAAGCAAATATCTGTCCTAACCCACAGGACTCATCTGTCACACAACCTGACAGGGAGACAATAGAGGGACACACACACACACACACACACACACACACACACACACACACACACACACACACACACACACACACACACACACACACACACACACACAATCATAAAAAAAACTATTTGCCTTGGCACAATGGAATTACACCATCCAATGTAACTCAAGGAATAAAACATTGACGTTGCTGAGTACAGTTCAGGTCCAACCAACACACACTTGCATTCTTTGCTAAGGTAGTATATTTGCACTACTCATTTATACTTTTTCCCAATCACTGCTCCCTTGATTTAGTCTATAAAGGCAATTACAACACATTAAACATTTCCATATCTGCTCATACCACCGGATACTGGCACAGACAGGCACATAGGTCCATGTGGAAACAGGAAGTAGCCAGGCAGGCTGGTTTCTAGCCCATAAAATGCTAATATTTAGTATCCTTCTGTAAAATGTTCTCTGATCCGGTGCTGCTTAGGTTATCATGTACATTTCTCTTTACAGTAACTCGTCACAATTAAGTATCACTCAAGCATGAGAGGATTCAAGGCATCTATATGTTTTTCAAGCAGGTGTTTACAGCCTGCAGTCCCGGCCACTCTGCACAAAAGTTATTTTCTGAAATGGATGGACTTGAGATGGCGAGCAGCCCTCAGTGAATGCTGCTCAGCTGACTGTAGACGTGCTCTAAGATCTGAGAGTAGGCCTGGTCTTTGGGAGCGTGGCAACTCAGAGAGCCCTGAGGAAGGAGAGAGAACGGTGAGATGCCACAAAGCACAATTACTCAATTATTCTCCGTAATAACTATTTTGACATGCTTCTTTTAATAATGGATCATGTGCAGCGAGGCTGTCATTAATGAAAAAAAGAACGGCATGGTGATCAGGAAATTGTTCTATTTTTCATTACATTGCACATTTTCCCGCTCAACATTACACGGCTACCTAATAAATTAAACAACGACTTGATTCACAATATTGATTTAAATAGATTTGACATGTACTTGTCCGTGATAAAGTATTTTTGTATAATACTTCAATACTGGGATAAGGGCAATTCTGCATAGTGAGTTATTTTACTTTTAGTACACTTACAGTAGCTGATAATACCCTCTGTTTCTATACTAAGAACAATCTTAAATTCAGCACTTTTAATTGTAATGTAGTATTTAAGTAAAGGATCGGAGGTTCTTCCACAAATGGATGAGACACAGTGCATGAAGCCCTGAAAGAGGGCCAGGATCCTAAAGAAAAACGATCCATGTCAAATGTATTTGTGTGAATTCAGGTCTTCTATACCTTGATTTTGTCCATCATGGTGGTATCCGGACACCAGTACTGGTTAAAGTGGACGATGTCAGGAGCTGACCTGTAGTAATCAACCAGCAGCATCTATGGAAGAAACAAAAAGACCCTTTTTTAAGTGATTTGTAACAAAGCATCACACACGTTCTTAATTGTATGCAGTGTTTTCATAGGACTGAGGCTGTAGTCTGTGTACCATCTCATTCAGGACGTCACTGGTGAGGAAGTTGTCCTGAACGTAGGTCACCTCTACGGCCACCGGGATGCCGTAGTCATTGGGCCGTTGCTGCAGAAGGGCAGATTCAACATGAGTTTAGCAGAAACGTGAGCGAAAGTGTCTAAACTAACAGTAAAAGAAAAGTTCAACTGAATATCAAACATGAATAATGACTTAGGTGAGTATTTCAGCGATGCATGTGTCCTCACCTCAGGTGGTGGGACGACCCAGAACGGGGTTATCGTGGATGCTACACCTTGATTGCCGTGATAATACGGTCCTGAAAGAGTAAAACGTTTAAGGGTTTAAACATTTATTATGGTAATTATGATAATGCCATTGCACTCCTTTGTTTACTTCTGTACCATAGTGACGTCACTATGTAACACTTATTTTGGTAGTGCTCCAAGGTTTACATTTTTACAACCTTAACATTGTACGTGATAGGAAAAGGGGCGGGACATCTCTACCCATTAGACCAGTGCTTGTCAAAGTGTGGTCCGTGAGCGCCCCCTAGTGGTCCGTGAGTATATTGGTAAAATTTCACATTTGAAATAAATAAATACATTTAAGTTTTCCGCACTCTCGCGGGAATATCTCCGCAATGGAGCGAGGTTAAGTTTCACTTTCAATTGCATGATATAGCCCAGCGCAACACCTTCCTCACACATGTTGCCACTTGTTTGTACCATTTTCAGGCGATTTGTAATATGTTCTAGAAAAACGATGTGTTTTTTTATATTTGTGGAGTTAGGTGGTCCACGAGTGTTTTTCCTTGGTTTGAAAAAGTTTGAGAAACCCTGCATTAGACCAATCACAACAGAGCCGACCAACTATTATCTAATTATTTTCAGGAGTGTTTCCAAATGTTACGTCTTATTACATTTCAGCTGGTAAACTGCTGTTATACACTCTAAGGACACTTTATTCCTCATTCAAGTGCAATTTTTGTATTTGTGATGTATTGCAACTCTCAAGTCACTATTTCATACATATACTTTTTGAATTTAAAATGCATATTGTGTAGATAGATCCTATATATGTCTGGCTTTGTATATACGATTTAATACAATGAAGTGTACTGGCATGGGGTCAATAGAGTGTCTGTTCGACAGCTCCCTGCAGAAGAGGTATTCACACATAGAAAATCCCTAATCTATCACATCGACACATCGCCCCACAATGTTTATAAAGGCAGTACCGCAGATGATGCCCAGGCAGGGCTGGAAGCCGTTGTTGGACCCCTGCAGCCTCAGCTGGTGGTCCATCTGCGAGTCGATGTCCTGCAGCGAGGGCAGGGCCGGACCCCGGGGGTGACTGTGGTACCAGCCCACCAACGAGAGCCCGCGCATGAACAGGTTCTGACAGATCTGGAGAGGAGGAGTCCACACAACAGACACTGATCAGAAACAAGGCTTTAATGTGAGTAGAAGTAGTTTAGTATAGACTGAATCAGATCCCAAAAAAAGCTCAGCAATAATAAGATGGACAATTCTAATTATAAAAATGCTAAATTGTAATTTACAGCTACATTTAGTTTGGGCTGTTACAGTTATTCACTCTCTGTGAATACAGTGCACTAAATTGAGGAAGGGGAAGGACACTATTTAGAGATGTATAACTCACTAAAGCTTTTATAAAGTATGATAGAAAAAACATGTTTTCTGATTGGTTTAAATTCTTGAAATCTGGTATAGACATATCAGTTTTTTTTATAAAAGTGCTACTTCCTTTAACTACAACTTTTTTTATCGTGCACATGTGTGAGCATGTGTGCCTGTCTGGTATGTTTTGTTTACCATTTCATTTACATATCTCGTTTTTGTTGCTTAGTTGATATTCCATGAGTGTTAACAGAACCAAACATTACACTTTATTTAGGATCAAAAACAGAAACCTATTATGGGTAGACAGAGCCAGCACCACGGTCAGTGTTAAGTAAATAATAGTCAGTTAAGTAGTTCTTAGCTTTCAGAAAGGTGCTTGCTGACAAAGGCTCGCTGCTGACCTGTCCTGCAGCACAGGGTGTTTTAGGTTATAAGAATGCAACCAGTACATGCTGATGGTGCAGAATACTGATTGACTGTCCATGCGTTACCTCCTCCTCTACAGCAGAAGCAGACTCTCTGTCTGCCAGCCGGGTCCGACAGGGGAAAGCTCTTAGGACTGTCAGCACTGAAATACACCGACCACAGAGAGAGAAAACGCTGGGGTTAAAGACAACTTCACCTTCTTTAAGTATATTTCTTCCAATTACTTTTAAATCTTACTCACGTTGTGTATTTGTATCCCATCGTCCTCCGAGGTATCCCACCACCTCGCTGGTGGTCAGGTGACAGTGGAAGTCCTGAAGAGGATAGAAAGAAAAGTAAGTTGATATTTTTACAATCCTTTCAATAACCTTTAATTCATTTGAATATGTTTTATTCACACTGTATGTAATTGCATTGATATTTTAAAAGGGCCCTTAAAAAAGGGAACTTTGTGATTTTAGCGTTTGCATTCTATTAACATGCACAGAAACCTGCATAACACAGAAGAGAGAACCTTAAAAAGCATAATAGTGCCCCTTCATTTAAAGAATTGCATACTTGCATGATGTTTATAGTATCCCATGTTTATATTTTGTAGTAAAATGTGTAGTGTATACTAACTTATTCTGTATATTTTATATGTTTATTCTATAGATATTCAATAGCAGGGTATATGCAGGAATCCTGAAGTCAAATGTAATACCTTTAAGACCTTTTTTAAGACCCTTCCCATACATTTGAAGACCTCATCGCCACTTCGAGTTTTAACCGGTTACCTTGGCGACACACTTTACCTCACATTGACTATATACAGTATTGATTGTGCTTCCTCCTTATCTTCCAACCATTTGGACGCAGACTTGCATTTCCCCATAACGATGTTGTTTAACAACCGGCGTAAACGGACCTTCGCGCGCTATCGAGCTATAAAGGAATGGAACTCATTGCCAAACTACCTTGCTGAAATAGAGTCCAGAGCCTCTTTCAAGAAGAGATTGAAGGGCCATCTACTAATGACCATGTACCCTTGTGAGCTGTGAACCCTAATTTAATTTGATCCCATGCTTTGTACTGGTGGGTGTCTAGTGCACTCATCCTTGGCTGAGATTGATATTGAAAGTGGATGAGATTGTTGATGATATTGGTGATGTTGTTAATGATGTCAGGAATTATGTCTTGAATGTTGTTGTATTATTGTTTTAAGGGTCGGACCCCAGGAAGAGTAGCTTTTGTCAAGAGCAAAAGCTAATGGGGATCCTTAATAAACATAAACATAATCAAGCAGTGTCCTGTTCAGATGACGTCAAATCCAACGGGATGCCATAAATAAACTACACAGAATCACACTACACACCTACGCAATGATTACATTCAGGCACACTGTAGAATAAAACCTCTTTGGACCATTTATATACTTATTGAAAACAAGCTACAAAATGTAATAACTTTTTAATAGCCTTCATTTTCGCTAAATTGATTTATCAACTTTTAATACTTTTTAAGACCCCGCAGACACCCTGAATAGGTAATTATCTTTCTACTGTTAATCAATTAAGTAAATCTAATCTAACTGTGTGCATGAATGAAATACACTGTTTTGTATGGTTGTGACTCACCATTAGCAGCAGAACATTACTGGACACGGCTACATTGAAAGGCTGGAATCTGTTGATGGCAGAGAAGGCCGACAGCTCCACGAGTGTGTGTGAATCTCTGAGGATAAAAGTTACAGTCCATCACACTTAGTCACACACAAATACATTAATATTTCAGAATAAAAGTCAGTACCTGGCAGCGTCTCTGGTGCCCAAGGTGCAATATCTGACAGGAATCCTCTCTCGGTCGGTTCTCCGAGAAACCATCAGGTCTGTAGCAGGGAAGATAAATATTTGTTTTCCAGGTTGTTGAAAATACAGAGCGCTGTGAAACTATTTTTAAAAGAAGGGAATCGTACCGTTTAGTCCAGGTTTGTTGTTCTTGTTTTTCTCATCTGCCTGCAAAGCTGTCTTCCCTTCCTCTTCATCCTCGTCATCGTCCTCCTCACTCACAAGGCTCTAAAATCACACAAAATGAACACAATTTGTGCCATATGATAATTTAAATACAGTGATATAATATATATATATATATATTGATTACAATGGGAAACACTAACTGTTACTGTAGATTGGTTTTAACTTGTTACAAGAAAAGGAAAGCATTGTAGAAAGACATGACTAGGGATTCACTATGAAATTGGCACATCAAGGGTATTGACAGATTTAAATTGATATTAGCATTAGCAAGAAATGTCAATATAACTTGAATCTATATTGAAGGAAAATAAAAGGTTAAATGACTAAATGTCCTCACCATGTCTGCGCTGGGCTGGTACTTGTGCAGCCAGGTGGTTTTGTACTGGACCAGCTTCTGGCCCCGGTAGCGGACGGACGCCCAGCCGCAGCCCGACTTCTTGGCCGGGTTCACCAGACGTTTGCAGTGTGTGGCCCAGGCGCTGGGGGAGTTAAAAATCTGGCCCGTCTCCACCCATCTGATTTTCCCATCATTCAACAGGTCTCCTACAAAGTTCTTACCCTGAAGTAAGCAGAGAAGAGAGACAGTTTAAAACTAAAAGAAAGGCATGTATGTGGGTTTGCTCCTGTAAAGCCTCTGCTCAGTGCACTTCAGTCATGGCTCTGTGAAATGCCAACACTCACATATTATATATGTATTTATATAGTACATATTTCCATGACACACTGCACATCTTTTTATTCCACATAACCACATATGTATATATTATTACAGTATATATTTCTATCATACAGTGTCTCATTTTTCTTTCTTTTTTATCTTTTTCTGTTATGTATATATTTTTTTCTTATTCCTTCAATTTACTTTCACTTTACTTGGCCATTACATTTAGTAACATTACATTATTTATCTGCCGCTGTTATCCAGAAAAACTAACATACACTTGATACCATGGACATGTCTACGAGAGCAATTTGGGGTTAAGTATCTTGACCAATGACACTCCGACATGTTGGCTGCAGGATCGGGGTTCGAACCTCTGACCTTTGGATTTGAAGGTGCCCACTTTCAGCCTGGCACCAGCCACTCCAAATTCATTTCACTTTGTTTTATTATATGCAAAGTATATTGTATGTTGCATTATTGAAGGAGCCTTGGACTTCAGGTTTGGTTAACTACACTTTTGCTTTTATGCATATTACAAAAAAGCCTTTGAATCATTACCAGATAATTATCATCAGGTAGCTTTGGTGCAACTTTAAATGACCTTGCACAATTAATGCATAACAACATTGCAAATGAGCCCAGGTGTTCTGTGTGTTATTACCAGGTAGTGGATGGCCAGCACGCCGTCCCCCGGCTCCACCAGCCCGTCCTTCAGCAGCACTCTCAGGGTGATGCCTCTCCGGGTCAGCAGGGAGCCCCGGCCTGAGCTGGACCTCAGGTCTGCCTCCTCCCCCCCACTCAGCTCCTCCTCATCCTCCTCTCCTCCGTCCTCCACCACCTGTGGAGAGCTGGGTGGCTCTGAGTCTGAGGACACACACAGACAAACACACACACATGGATCATAATGTGCCCAGGTTTGCTGGAGTAATATGGGTTTGATGCTCATCTTAAAAATAAAATGCTATTGTTTTTTCATCAAACAGCCTCTTGTGAAAGGTCATTTCACTCAGTTTTTGATATTGCCAAACACCTGGCCACCAGCTAAACATCTGTAAACTGTAACAAAGTTACATCAGGAACAAAGCCAATGCAAATGGCCATTCTTTTTTTAATTATAATGACTTTATAAGGAAAGCTCCACTGTAATGGCAGCCAGCATCATTCATAATTGCAGCATGCTAAAATGATAGCTATCATGGTGAAAGGGTCTAAAGGGGCCACAATAGGCTAAAGATAATCCAAATTGGCATTTGTTATTAATTACGGCTAAACTCTGCGGTTGGCCTTTTGTTTACACCTCCCATTAGGGCATGTATCTTTCTCTCTCTCTCTCCGCTGGAAGAGGCCTCTTTTAATTTCCCTCAGAATTACAATTACATTCATTATTCTCACCCATATCTCAGAAAGCGTCGGAGAGCGTCTTTTAATCCAACTCGGGGAAACGCTGCTTCTTTCCTGGGCACTTGCAAAGGGTTTGATCTCCGGGCAGATTTCACAGATATAGGCTACACTTCGCCACACTAGCTCCGGCTATTATTCAAAAACATAAAATGAAGGCGTCTGAGGCTCTGCAGTGTAGTTTCCTTGTTGTGTTGCTTTAATGTCAGTTCCCCTCCCCTTTCTTTCTCCCTCTCCCCGTCCTTGTCACTCTCCTGTCGTGCCATGCCGGTCCGTCTGCCATTATTCAGACATTCATAAGACTTAAAAACACTACATGCTTATTAATAATGTAAAAACAGTCGGTTTTGGTGGTGTGAAATGGCTTAATGGGATTACAATGCAGAACAATAGCAGCGAGGATCGGACAGATGAATTGTCGCTCGGTGCTCGTGAGCCATTTGGCATTTAGGGCAGATTAAAAGTACATCCTGGAGATTATAGTGTATTTATATACAAGAAACGGAACACCTTGGCTGAGGAAGAGGATGGTGGTGTGTGTGGTGTTATTTTACCACATCGGTACTTTACTGTGTTGCACTGTGGGTTTCTTCACTACACCGAGATGAGCCTTCTTTATCTCCGAGAAAGATACGCATTTACCGGGGAGCAGCCTCCGGAGGGCAGCAAACCTCCAGCAGCGTCTGTGAGGCATTTTGTGGTGTAAAGTAACTAAGTACATTTACTCAAATTACTTAAGTGCAGTTTTGCGAGACTTGTGCTTTACTTGAGTATTTAAATGTTTTGCTACAGTAAATAGCGTACTTTTACTCCACTACATTTATTTTATACCATGTAAATCAATTTATACACATTGATATAATTTAAGATGATCCAGGAGCAGTATTAATTATAATTAGCTTCACCTCCTCTAGCTGTGAGATATATTAATACATCAATAATCATAATAGATAATTGTATTATGAATGGAATCGAATTCTGAAATGGGCCATTAAGGGTAATGGCCCCAGTACTTTTTGAACAAAAGTATATTTTGATGCTAATACTTTTACTTAAGTACAAGTGCAACATAAAGTATACTGAAATTCTGTATACACTTTGATGTACTTCCACACAAGAGAATGGCAGACTGCAGCTTTGAATTACCGACACATAACATTTATTAAGGGACTGTCTATTCTCAGCTATATGGGTGATAAAAAGCCTTCACTGTACATCTTTATTCGAAACAAATTAAGGGATTACTGTTATACCATTTGCATCTATGTAAATGGTAATTCACCCATATTTATGTTTGCATAATATGACCGACAGCTTCCTTTATAAAATCCACAAAAAAAGATCATTATTAGTACTTTAAACATTAAGGACTACCTGCCAGAAGATGGAGACATCTTCCAGTAAGTGTGTTTTTCTGTGTCTAACCTGCTAAACGTATCTCCTGGTATTTTAGCTATTTCAAACATATGTGGCATTGTTAACTTAGTCTTCTGCAAGGCATGTATAACCTCTACATGAACTGACAGCTAATAACGATAATTCCTAGAAATGCATGCTGTCACACAATGCCTTCATTGATGCCTGCATTGTTTATTATGTAGGTATTTAACATCAACATTGTGTTAGATCTGGATTGTTGTTTATGTGTCTTACTTTGACGCTGTAGAGGGGACACTGTTTTTGCATCGTTCCTGTGGCTCTTTGCTAGGGTAATTTTTCAGCGTTAATTCAGTATTGCTACACATTACTTAAAAAAAACAATGTAAAAATATGTAAAATCCTCTGCTGCAAAAAATCATCACCTGAAACATACTGTAGATGAGGCCATATGATACTGTATTCTTAAGGGCCTGTTTATGCTCATTTTCAGGTTCATATTTGTATGTTGTGCCTCTTACTGCAACATGTTTACTTGCTTTAATGTTCAGAAATGTTTATTTTTGTCATGCTGCCTGTGCTGCAGTACCTCTTTTCACCCTCTGTCTGAAACCAGAGCCCAGTCTGCTCTGATTGGTTAGCTGTTTTGTGATTGGTCCACCGCTTAGAGATGTCCCGCTCATTAGCCTATCACGTACAATGTGATGTAGCGCTAGCCAATAGAAGCGCGTTTGTAACATGTTGATATCATTATGTTACAGAACTAAAAAAAGGAGTCCAATGGAGTCCACACAAACCTGTCAACTACAGCAAGGGGAAACCCCAAAACAGCATTTAAGGGCTCACACACAAATTCAGATAATTCAGAATGCATGCCCAATTTATTTTTAATGACACAAGCTTGTATAAAAGGTTTATCATAAAACTACACATTATGAGCTTTTACATTGTTTAAAATTGTTAAAAAAGTATAAAGTATTTTAATAAAATGTTACATTACACGTTTATATCTTTCCTCATGAAGTTTGATATTAAACAGTACATTAAGTGACCTCTCTATCCTCCTCCACCCTTTCTCTAGTGACTTAAATGCCAGCCTAAATTGTAATTAATAATTAACTCCAGTTATTTATTAAGCAAGAACAGACTTGTCCCGCCCTGTTGTGTGCTAGAACAAAGGCTTTTGAGACTCTAACTATCACAAACTCTAAATATTACCTAGGAAACACACACCTTCCTTCACACTAAAAGCCTTTTACGTACAGTATGAATCCTATTGCTGACTTTCCCAACTTCAGACATTCACAAAAATGTTATTCAATAAATCAAAGGCAAATGTTAAACAGATGTTATCAGTATTTTATGATATGATTCATGTCACAAGGCTCACGTACATGGAAAGCTTGGTCATGTTTAATTAAATGCACTCAATGTTACACTGTTAATAGCTATAATTATACTCACAAGAGTCATGAATTACAAAAAATATGCTGTTTGCAAACCCGTTGTTCATTTCCTCTTTGCCAAAGTTCCCATAGGAAACCCAAACTAATCTGTGACGTAGTAAGGACGGATCACCACCTGGTAGGAGAACTGGTCTGAGCGGCATGGATAGACTTGGTCAGCGCTTCTTGGGACAGATACAAAGTTCTCCCCATCACCGTTAGCAAATTCAAGAACGTGGATCACATACGTCCCTTCACACAGAACAATAAGCTTATTGCTATACTGAAACTTTCCCTGCAACCTTTGGGGTACATTTCGGTTCTCTTCAATCTTCACACTAACAGCCGGCAAAGTGGGGCAAGTGACCCCATCCCTAGAGCATTCTGCATGACTGATATAAACCCTTGTTTTCCAGAGCATGATGTTAGAAGTGAATAAGTGACTGTTATGAATAGGTGATCGGATCTTAATTGTGAGGCTATTGAGTGACTCGCCATGACGATTGAAGAAACCAAAGTCTTTGTAAATGTTGACTTTGTGGTGGTTAAAGGTTGTGCTCCACGGATTGTCGGTGTAAATCCTGGGAGTGTAGAATTCTTTGTCTTTCTTCAATTCAGGGAGCAATGTTTTTAAGGACAGTGTATTGAAATAATACCCCTTCTTCTTCATGGCATCGTACTGGGACCCATTAAGTTTGTATAAGTCCTCAGCTTGTATCAGGGGGAAACGGATGAGCTTCAGAAGTGCCTCAGGGATGGTAGGGTTACCTTTGGCTGCCGCCCATCTCTCCACTCCATTCAGGATGACGTTTTCATTAGGCACCACAAGGTCTGAGCGAGACAGAAGAGCTTTGACCAGAGCAAATGAAAGGTTTGTCCAGGCTGGGGATTGGATCAGAGCCTCACAGTTCCACGCCAGGTAGCAAATGCAAACTTCCTGTAGTGCCTCATCACCTATATGAACTGCATACTCATAGAAAGAGTTTTGACTCTGGAAGGTGGGATCCTCTGTGAGAAAAAGTCTGGAAAGATTTGCTACCTCATTCTGTACTTCTGTCAGACCCCAGTCTTGTGCCATCCTGAGAATGCAAGTGGCTGTGGATCGTGTAAATTTGATCTTTCTTGTGTAGAAATATCTGCAATGTGAAACATTTGCATTAGCAAGGTTCAGGTGTTTCTTACTTAGTGCATATTTTATTTTTTATTTAACCAGATAAAAGCATTGAGATAAAATCTCATTTGCAATGCTGACCTGGCCAAGAAGGCAGCAACGTTACACATAACACATAACACAAACATATAAAATACAGAGAACATAACTAAGAAAACAAAAGACGAAGAAGCAGTCACTACATTGTGCACATTAGGACAGTAAGAAAGGTGCACTACTTATTACTGCAAGAGCAGCTGGTGGTAAGGACTTCAGACAACTTCAATTTAAAACATGCTATTGAGACAAGTGCTCTCAGTTTGAGGCGTGATTGAAGGTCATTCCAAGACCAAGGACCATAATAAAAAAGACTCCTTTTCCCAGCCTCAGTCCGCACAGCAGGAACCTGGAACCGTATCCAGGCAC